CTGGAAGAACACAAATGTCACTCCTATATTCAAGAAGGGCAAGAGAGAGGATCTGGAGAACTACAGGCTGGTCAGCCTCACCTCGATCAGTGCAAAGATGATGGAACAAATAATCCTGGAATGATTTCCAAACACATGAAGGTGTTTGGGAGTAGTCAGCACAGAGTTATGAAGAAGAAATTGTTCTTGACCACCCTGATAGCCTTCTGCGATAAGATGACCGGCTTGGTGGAGGGGGGGAGAGCAGAGGATGTTGTTGAGGATTCTGACACTGTCTCTCATAATATCCTCATAGATAAGTTGATGAAGTGTGGGCTAGAAAAAGGGTCAGTTAGGTGGCTGGAAACCTGGCTGAACTGCCAGGCTTAAAGCGTTGTGATTGGTGCCACAACGTCCAGCTGGAGACCAGTCCCTCATAGTTGATGCCCCCCCACCAACACCACCTCCCCGGGGGTCAATACTGGGGCCAGTGCTATTTACCATCTTCATTAATGACCTGGACGGTGCGACAGGAGGCACCTCTGCAGGTTTGGAGGCGATGCAGAACTGGGAGGAGTGCTTGGTACACCAGCTGGTTGTGGGGCCGTTCAGAAGGATCTCAACAGGCTGGAGAAATGGGCTGAGAGGAAGCTCCTGAAGTTCAACAAAGGGAAGCGCCAAGTCCTGCACGCGGGGAGGAACAACCCCATGCACCAGTACAGGCCGGCGGCTGACTGGCTGGAAAGCAGCTTTGCAGAAAAGGTCCTGTGGGTCCTGGTGGGCAACAAAGCGAGTATGAGCCGGCAACGCACCCTTGTGGCAAAGGCGGCCAGCAATCTCCTGGGTTGCGTTAGGCCAGCAGAGTGTTGCCAGCAGGTGGAAGGGGGTGATCCTTCCTCTCTGCTCAGCACTGGTGAGACCATATCAGGAGTGCTGTGTCCCGTTCTGGGCTCCCCAGTACAAGAAAAAAATGGATTTACTGGAGTGAGTTCAGCGAAGGGCCACAAAGATCATTAAGGGATTGGATCATGGGTATAAATACCTGCTGGGAGGGAATAAAGAAGACAAAGCTAGACTCTTCTCAGTGGTGCAAAGTGAAGACACAAGAGGCAATGGGCACAACTTGAAATATAGGAAATTCTATTTAAACATTCTCCCTTTTTTACCAGAAGGGTGATCAAAAACTGAGATAGGTTGGTCAAAGAAGTTGTGGAGTCTTCACAGAATCACAGAGTGGTTGAGGTTGAAAGGGACCCCTGGAGATCATCTAGTTCAACTCCCCTGCTCAAGCAGGGTCCTCTAGAGCATATTGGCCAGGATCATGTCCATGCAGGTTTTGAGTATCTCCAGGGAAGGAGACTCCACAGCCTCTCTGGGCAACCTGGTCCAGTGCTCAGTCACTCTCCACTCTCATAGTAAATAAGTTTTTCCTCACGTTCAGATGCAGTCATCTCCTGTGTTTCAGTTTCTGCCCGTTGCCTCCTGTCCTGTCGCTGGGCACCACTGAAAATAGTCTGGCCCCCTCCTCCTGGCACTCTCCCTTTAGATATTTGTAGACATTGATAAGATCGCCTCTCAGTCTTCTCTTCTCCAGACTGAACAGGCCCAGCTCTCACAGCCTTTCTTCATAGGAGAGATGCTCCAGACCCCTCATCATCTTCACAGCCCTCCGCTGGACTCTCTCCAGGA